ACTGGGGGTTTCAACACAGTTTTTTTTAAAAAAAATTTTCGGTGCCAAACATAGCCCAAAATTTGGGGAAAAGCAAAAAAAAAAAGGGAATTCACTTGCACAAGGGAATTTCACAAAAAAAGATATCAAGTATGGAATAGTGGGCCCAAAAAACACACAAAAAAAAAAATTTTCACTGACCAGAATTGCTTATTTTGCACACAAAATAAAATTAAAAAAAAATGCAAATTATTAAATTCAAGAATATGGCAAAAGGTTTTAAATGGTTTAGCAGGGGGGTACAACCCGGCAAAAAAAAAAAAAAAATTTTTCAAAAAAATCTTTAAGGGCCCAAAAATTTAAATTTAAATTTTACAAAGGGAAATTTTGGGGAATAAAATGGTAAATAAGCAGGTTTTCCCCAAAAAACACTCAATGAAATTGGGGGATATAAAATAGCAAAAAACAATGCCCCATAGGGGAATTTTTCCCCTGATAAAACATTTGAATATTTAAGCAAAAAAAAATGGGGGAAAAAGAAAAAAAAAAATTTAAAAGGGGTTAAAGGGAAGATTGTATGACGCAGGGGAGAAAAAAACTAAAACTTAAATACTTGAAGATTACACTTAATTTAAAAAAAAAAATAACAAACAAAACAGTGGGAGGGGTGTCAACAATTTTTGGGGCTAACTGCCGGTGCAACTAAAAAAAAAAAAACAGCACAAAAGGAAATTTCATGAAAAAATGAAATTTTTTTAGGGAAATTGTATAAAGGTTAAAAAACTGAACAATTTAAAACAAAAACTGAGGTGCAAGAAGCAAATAGAGAAAAAAATGGAAAATTTAAAAAAATTGGGGTTTTCAAAAATAAATTCAAAAAAAATTTAAGCTGTAGGAAAAAGGCAAAATGGGCACTGATGAAAATGAACCAAATTTTCTAATTTTGGCTTCAGTAACAACTTTTAAATTGGGGGCAGGGCCCTTAAATAATGTCACAAAAAATTAAAGGGAAAAAGCTAGTTTTAAATCACTTTTTACTTAACTTTGAGTGCAGGTTTACGAAGGGAAAGGGCGGGGGCGGAACTTTCATGGGTGTTCTAAATGCACCAAAAAACGCCTCGGCCCTTGTATACCCGCAGGGGGGTTCAATGTCGTAGAAAAAAATGTCAGAAAGGACTTGGGAAGAACAGGAAGGACCGGAAATAACCCCTGTGGAGGTATAAGATATTTTTTACGTGGGTACCCGGCGTTAACCACAGCTGGTGTAGGTTGTTTTTCACTTTGGGAAGCGTGTTCCCGGGGGGCGCTGAAATGACTGGGGCTTCAGCACACGGGGGAAAAAAAACATTTTCTGCACTACCGAACGTGCTAAAAACAACTTAAATGAAACTTTGAACTGGGACGAGTAAGTTTTTTCTGTAACAAATCCCCTTTGGGGAAAAAAGAACTGGGATGAACTGGGAAAAAAAACAAAAAGGGGAAAGGGAAAAAAAAAAAAAAATTTTTTAAAAATGGGCCAAAACAAAAAAAAAACTGGGACTGGCTGGAATTACGTAGGCGCTGAGTAGTAAGAAAACCCATGATGAGTCCGAGCTGCTTTTAGACGCGAAAATTTTCGGGCCCTTTGGGGCTAAAAACCCAAATGGGTTTCCCCCCCGTTTTTAAGCCCCCGGGAGAACTTTTTGGAGGAAATTGGGGAAAACCCCAACACACATGGAAAGCGAAAGGACGTCTTTTCCTAGCAAAAGGCTGTAAAGGGGGCTGGGGTGTTTACACGGGTGATTAGGGTATAAACCCAACCCCCAAAGCTGCCTCGGGGGTCACTTTGTGGAGCCACACGAAGCCAACCACTTTAAAGACCCACCCCTATTTTTTGTAGCTGAAAGGGCGTAGGACGCTGGTCGGAGGCAAAAGGGGAATGGTGCTGGAGATGTTGAAGGGGGGGTTTTAGAGAGGGTGATGAGGTGAAAACCCCTGACTGCTAAAAGGGTGGAGATGAAAGGGCCCTTTATCCTATATCCAGATTTTTTGGGAAAAAATTTTAGGGCGAAAAAATCTATCTCGGGGCCCCCTCAAGACGCTGGGGGTAGCGATAACTCTTTAAAGGGTAGCAGGGGCGTTGGATGACGACGGATGATGTTGACTGGTGGGCCCACCGTTCCCCCCCCACCCCCGAAGAGGCCCCACAAGGGCCCCTGAAAATTCCCCCTGTCACCACGTTTTTGCTGTTCTTACTGTTGAACAGCGGTTTAGTGCCGATGAAGGTTAAACTTTGGTTTTGCAAAGATACCCGGGCCCTGGACTAATTGGCTTTAATCGGGTAGGAGTAGTACCCCAACGGGCAGTGTGAGGAAGTGACCGCAAAACCAGTCCGTGGAGGGGGAGTACCTTTTACCCAAGTCGGGGCGAAGCGGGGGTGGAGAGGGTGGACTGTGTGTCCCACCGACCTAGGGAGGCCTACAAGGGCAGGGAAATGAATTCCGCGAAATATGAAATATTTAGAGCAGAGGGTAGGCGTGTGCTCTGCCCCAATACAGGCTGTTTTTACAATTTTCCCTTCCCCCCCGACAAGCACTGGGAAAAACCCTACGGGTTTTTGCCCCTTTCCCCCTGAAAATAAGAAAAATTAAACCAATAGAGTGAATTTCTAGCCAGGCCCATTTCTGAATTTTTCCCACCGATGTCCCGGGACTGAGGGAGAACCCCGCTGTCCGACATCTCCCTTTTCCCCACTTTACCTGACCTACCATCAAGACCTACCCCCCCCCCACCTCCTTGACTGGCTCCGGGGCCATCAAACGTAAACTGCCTGTGAGCCTTATTCAAAAAATTCAAAATTTGTCCCAAAAGCATTTGTGTTTTCAGCCTCCCAAACTACTCTTTTCTATTTAAAAGACATTATAAAAGAAGCAAGTGGTCACGAGAGGTCAAGTAAATCCTGAAATGATCAAAAAGGGGCACTGAGAAATCAAGTGGTCACTGACAAAATCAAGTGGTCACGAGAGATCAAGGGGGGTCACTGAGAGATCAAGTAGTTTACTGAGTTTATCAAGTGGGCCCCTTTAGAGATCAAGTGGTTACTGAGGGGATCAAATGAACACTGAGAGATCAAGGGGGTCAAATGAGAGATAAAGTGGGCCCCTAAGAGATCAAGTATCACTGAGAAAATTAAGTTTCCTGAGGGGAAACAAGTGTCACTTTAGAGATTTAAAGTGGTCACTGAGAGGTCAATTAGTCACTGAGTGGATCAAGTGGTCACTTGAGAGGTCAAGTAGCCACTGAGTGATCAGGGGGTCAATGAGAAATCAAGTGGTCACTGAGAGATCAAGTGGTCACTGAGAGATCAAGTGGTCACTGAGAGATCAAGTAGTCACTGAGAGATCAAGTGGTCACTGAGAGATTAAGTTGTCACTGAGAGATCAAGTGGTCTCTGAGAGATCAAGTGGTCTCTGAGAGATCAAGTGGTCTCTGAGGGGTAAAGTAGCCACGAGTGATCAAGTGGTCACGGGAGACTAAAGTAGTCACTGAGTGATCAAGTAGTCACTGAGAGATCAAGTGGTCTCTGAGAGATCAAGTAGTCACTGAGAGATCAAGTGGTCACTGAGAGATCAAGTAGTCACTGTGAGGACAAGTTGTCACGAGAGGTTAACTGGTAACTGAGATTTTTTAAAGTGGGTCTTTGAGAGGCAAAGTAATCACTGAGAGACCAAGAAGTCACTGAGAGGCCAAGTGGTAACAGAGGTCACGTGGTCACTGAGAGGTCAAGTGATGACTGAGAGGTCAAGTAGTCACTGAAAAGTCAAATGGCCGCTGAGAGGCCAATTTGGTAACAGAGGCCAAGTGGTCAAAGAGAGAAGTAAAGTTTTACAGAGAGGTCGTGTGGTCACAGAAAGGTTAAGTGGTAACAGAGAGATGAAGTGGTCACTGAGAGGTCAAGTGGTCACTAGAGATCAAGTGGTCACTGAGAGATCAATGGCCACTGAGAGATCAAGTGGTCACTGAGAGGTCAAGTAGTCACTGAGAGTTTAAAGGGGTCACTGAGAGATCAAGGGGGTCACTGAGAGATCAAGTGATCACTGAAGTTCATTGGTCACTTAGAGATCAAGTGGTCACTGAGAGATCAAGTAGTCACTGAGAGATCACGTGGTCACTGAGAGGTCAAGTGGTCACTGAGAGATCAAGTGGTAACTGAGAGATCAAGTGGTCACTGAAGATTCAAGTTGGTCACTGAGAGATCAAGTGATCACTGAGAGATCAAGTGGTCACGAGAGATCAAGTGGTCACTGAGAGATCACGTGGTCACTGAGAGATCAAGTGGTCACTGAGAGATCAAGTGGTCACTGAGAGATCAAGTGGTCACTGAGAGATCAAGTGGTCACTGAGAGATCAAGTGGTTACTAAGAGATCAAGTGGTCACTGAGAGATAAAGTGTTTACTAAAACCCAAGTGGTCACTGAAGATCAAGTGCTCACTGAGAGATCAAGTGGTTACTAAGAGATGAAGTGGTCACTGAGAGATCAAGGGGTTTTCAAGAGATAAAGTGGTCCACTGAGAGATCAGGGTTACTAAGAGATCAAGTGGTCACTGAGAGATCAGTGGTTACTAAAGATCATGTGGTCACTAGAGATCAAGTTGGTTACAAGAGATCAAGTGGTCACTGAGAGATCAATGGTCACTGAAAGATTAAGTGGTCACTGAGAGATCAAGTGGTTACTAAGAGATCAAGTGGCCCCTGAGAGATCAAGGGGTTTACTAAGAGATAAAAGTGGTCACTGAGAGATCAGTGGTCACTGAAAGATTAAGTGGTCACTGAGAGATCAAGTGGTCACTGAGAAAATCAAGTGGTCACTGAGAGATCAAGTGGGTTACTAAAGATCAAGTGGTCACCTGAGAGACTAGTAAAGTCATTGTGAGGTAAATTTATGCATAATTATCTTATATTAGTTTTAACAGTTTAATTATGATCGAAGACAAGCTTGAGAAGGTGATAGAGGTGAGGGAGGAGAGGTGGAGGCACTAACCTGCAGCTTGGTATCTCTGAGAGCTTTGTGAGGTACAGTTAATGGCGCTGAACCTCATAGCGGAATACCTCTGTCTGTGTGGCATCCGTGTAAACCAACCTGTAGCAATAAACATTATCATAAGACAAATGGGTCAACAGGTAACAGTGATAGCATATTACTAGTGTGCTTCTCGCATCTGCTCTACCTGCATGGAACAAGTGAGCCAAATTAGTAACCGAGATCTTAGTGAAAAAACGTCTTTTATCGCTGAATGACCCAGACAAAAAAGTCCTACCTTCTTATAGTTATTTTCTGGGCTTTATCATGAACTTTTTTAAAGTACTTGATAAAGCCCAGGCTTGGGAGAAAACGTTATATAAAGAGGAACTTTAGCTACCAAAAGTCTTTATTACCACTTGTCAGTTGTTGCCGTTGTCCACCCATCTACCTTCTTCTCAAAGCTCTGCAACAGTGGGTTCCATGTTTGTTTCCACCAACAACTCTTTAAACAAAAATATAAGATGGCATAGGGAGGCCTCTTTCCTCAGCAACGTGTATCGGTTATTCTTTGAGACAGTATTTTTGCATAACTTACTGCCTGTCTGTCTGTTTATTCAGGTATAAACTGCTTTAGCTTTTACAAAGAAAAACTTTAAAAACCGTTGTGATGTATCTGTCACATTCTTCCCGTACTAAACTTTAGCAGCCCATGAGAATGTGATTCATAAAGCAATTTTAGGCTTGCAGTAAGGTTTTTTTTTTCATCTTGGTCAAATTGCAAATTAAACTAACATATTTTTCTTCTGCCAGTGTGGTGTTGTGTGTGTTTTGTGTGTGTGTGTGTGTGTGTGTGTTTGTGGTGTGTGTGGGGTGTGTGTGTGCATTTTGTGTGTGTGTGTGTGGGGTGTGGGGTGTGTGTGTGTGTGTGTGTGTGCGTGTGTGTGTGTGTGTGTGTTGTGTGTGTGTGTGTGTGTGTGTGTGTGTGTGTGTGTGGTGTGCGTGTGTGTGTGTGTGTGTGTTTTGTGTGTGCGTGTGTGTGTGTGTGTGTGTGTGTGTGTGTGTGTGTTTTGTGTGTGTGTGTGTGCGTGTGTGGTTGTGTGTGTGTGTGTGTGTGTGTGTGTTTTGTGTGTGTGTTGTGTGTGTGTGTGTGTGTATGTATGGTGTGTATGTGGTGTGTGTGTACTCACCTATATGTATTCACCCATACGTGGTTGCAGGGTCGAGTCATAACTCCCGGCCTCCGCCTCTTCACTGGTCGTTACTAAGTCCCCTCTTTCCCTGTTCCATGATTTTATCATAAACCTCTTCTTAAAGCTATTTATGGAACTTCCCTCCACTACTTCAATCTGCAAATTATTTCGCTTCTAACAACTCTAAGGCTAAAGAAATACTTCCTAATATCCCTATGACTCATCTAGGTTTTCAACTTCCAACTGTGCCACTTGTACCTGTATCCCATCTATGAAATTCGAGCCCTGTCCACCTTGTCAATTCCTCTCAGTATTTTATACGTCGTTATGATTCCCCCCCCCCCCCTATCCCTCCTATTGCTAATATTATCAGGTTGAGTTCCCTCGTAAGACATCTTACTGCAAACTTTTGCACTTTCTCTGCTTTCTTGAGGTATTTAGCTAGGTGTGGGTTCCATACTGGTGCCACATACTCCAGTTTTGGGCCTGACGTACAGGGTTGTACAGTGTCGTGAATGCCTCCTTACTCAGATGTCAAAATGCAAATTCACAGGTTTTGCGAAGCGCCCATATGCTGCGGGCAGTTATTTCATTGATGTGTGCCTCAGGGGACATGTTTGTTACAATGAATACCCCCATGATTCTTTTCTTTAGGGTGAAGTTTGCAGCTTTTGATCCCCTAACCTGTACTCCGTCTACGGCCTTCTTTGTCCTTCCCCAATTTTCGTGACTTTACACTTGCTGGGTTAAACTTCAGGAGACATCTGTCGGATCAGACTTACAGCCTGCCCCACATCCCCTTGTTATTTTAAAGCTGATCCTCGTCCGCTTGTATTCTCCTCATCAGTTTTCACATCATCAGCGAAGAGCGACACTTCTGAATCTATTCTATCCATCATATGATTCACGTATACAAGAAACAGCATGGACCTAGGACTGACCCTTTGAAACCGTACTCCACACATGCAGCCCACTTTGACATTTTATCACATACCAACACTCAATGTTTCCTTCCTGTCAGGTATTCCCTGATCCATTGCAGTACGTTCCCTACTATTCCTGCCTGCTCCTCTAATTTTAGAACCAGTCTCTTGTGTGGTACTGTGTCAAAAGCCTTCATGCAGTCCAAAAACATGCAATCTACCCAACCCTCTCTCTTTTGTCTTACCGTATTATCGTAGAACTCAGGTAGATTTCTGACATAGGATTTCCCATCCCCTGATAGCCTTTTCCATGACTTTACATACTATACATGTCAATGATACTGGTGTTAGTTTAACGCTGCCTGTGTGTTTCCTTTCTTAAAAATTGGGACACATTTGCTGTTTTCCACATCTCAGGCAATTACCCAGTTTCGATAAATTTATTAAAAAATACATACTAGCTGCACACACAGTTCCTCTGTTCCCTCTCTAAAGGACCCATGGAGATATGTTATCTGGGCCCACCGCCTTTCAGGTATCTTGTTCACCTAGCAGTTTCCCTTCACCTACTCCTTGGTTATGTGCAATATGTCCAGCACCTGCGGGTGCACCCTACCTCCATGATCTGCTGGAATAATTTCTGTCTCTATTGTAAGAAAATTCTCTAAATCTTGTATTAAATTCATAACATACTTCCTGGTCACTCAATGTAGCTCGCCTCCTTTCCACAGCCTGATTACCTGGACAACTGACCGCTGTTTTTTCCCCTTAAAGTGAACTGAATAACAAAATTTGGTTTTTTATTCGGCTTTAAATGCTATGTCGTTTTAACATTGCCTCTGGGCTTCTCGCTTTATCCCTGCACATTCGTTTTTGGGTTTTTCTGCTCTACTCATTGTTTTCTTGAGTCCTTTTCGTTTTATATCTGTTCCATACTCTAGCAAACTTGGCTTTGGCTCTTTACACCTCCATTAAACCATGGGCTCACTCTGGTCTTTTCCATTTTTTCTGTTACCCTTTATTATGAACTTCTCCTCTGCCTCCCTGCACGTAGTAGTCACTAGTTCCATCATTTCATTTACTGTTTTTCCCTCTATTTTTCTTTCCCACTACACTTCAGCAGGAATCTTCTAAGCCTATGTAGTCCGTGAGCGCTAAGGAGTCTATCGTGTGTGATTTTTCTCTATTTTGAGCTATTCAAGGGGAATATGAGATGTTGCCTTGCTGCAACATCCTCTTCCACTCTCTCCCTGTGTGTATCCCTATCATTTTGGTGTATGAATTCTCCAATACTGTCTCCAGCATCTCTTCATGATTGAAATCCCCCATGATAAATAATTTCATCCTACATATATGAGCCTTCCTGGCCACTTCAGCTACAATATCCACCATTGCCTATTTTCGTTTATCATACCTTGTCTTGGCTTCCTGCTGCTCAGTGGTGGGTATACATCACCTCTATCATTACCTTTCGATCCCAGTATGAAGTGTTCCCACAATGAAGTCGTCTGTTTCCCCTCTGTCCATTCCTCCCATTTCCTCAAAACTCCACTGGCTTTTGAAGAGTAGTGCCACTCCTCCCCCCTCTGTTCTCTCTCTCTTTCTTCAGGCTCTGATATCCCGCTGGAAAAATTGCATCTGTTATCATCCCTGTAAGTTTTGTCTCTGTTACTGCTCAGTGTGTGTGTGTGTGTTGTGTGTTTTTGTGTGTGTGTGTGTGTGTGTGTGTGGTGTGTGTGTGTGTGTGTTGTGGGGTGTGTGTGTGTGTGTGTGTGCGTGTGTGTGTGTGTGTGTGTGCGTGTTTGTACTCACCTCACCTAGTTGTACTCACCTAGTTGAAAGGGTTTCAGGGTTTGATCCAAGCCCGTAGCCCAGCCCTTCACGGTCGCTACTAGGCACTCTCCCTGAACTGTGAGTTTTATCATACCTCTGCTTAAAGCTATGTAAGGGTCCTGCCTCCACTACATCGCTTCCCAAACTATTCCACTTCCTGACTACTCTGGGCCGAAGAAATACTTCCTAACATCCTGTGATCACTGTGT